ACACACACACACACACACACACACACACACACACACACACACACACAGTTAATAACATCCTGGGGACCCGGGATATAATGATAACCATGAAACCATTTTTGATTGTCGGAAAAACCCACCTGGTTCACTAATGTCATTTAGGGAAGGAAACTGCCATCTTTACCTGTTCTGACCTACATTTGATTCCAGACCCACAGCAATGTGGTTGACTCTTAACTGCCCTCTGGGCAATTACGGATGGACAATAAATGCTGCCTAGCCAGCGACGTCGTCATCTCATTAAGGAATAAATGCTCTCTCACACACACATACATACACAGGCGAAGTCTTTGTCATCGAGCTATTTTCACGTTCAAGGAGAACTAAACTAGTGCGTTCAGGGCAAGAGAGCACAACACAAAACCATGGCCTCAACCCCTTCATTACTGACTTAGTAAACAGTGTTTACAATCAGTTATGCAGATTGCATCTTGAACAAATATCACACATGTGATCATGTCAATCTTGACTCCAAAACGGTCATGTTTCTTTTGGCATTTTTTTTTTGCTGAACACTCATCTGTCGCTGACAGATCCACGATGACACCTATATTTGAGAGATGTGTGTGTGTGTCGCAATGGAATATTATGTATACACGTGTAAAATGGCATTGCACTCACAAACATACAAATATTTTGATATCTGTGGAAACTGTTCACTTTGAAAGAGAAATTTGAATTTCCAGTTATTGCCTGAAAGAATAACATGGCAAGATTTTACGTTTTAAAACTTTTACTATAACAAATGACTGAAGAAGACAGTATAAACTAAACACCCTTTTTTTAAGAGGAGATTTATGCATTAAGTTATAGAAAGATAACACTTTCCTCAATACTTAACTGACATTGCACTCTCTGCAGAATACAGTTCTTTCAGCAAATAGTCCACAGTTGCTCCCAGCTTCCAAGATGTTGCCTTTTCCAGATGAATAATTTCTAACCTGAGAACTGGCCTTCAATGAGGATTATACTATAGACCTCTTCCTTCCAGCTTGGCGAAGCTTTCAGCTGCCTTTAAATATTCGTGACGTCTGTTTCCATACTCCTGCTTGCATTCTGTGTGGTCAACAGTAGGAGCAATGTTTTCTCTGCTTCAGGCACAGGACTGGCTACCTCCAGTTCCTACTGTGTGTTCAGATGTCAAACAAAACTCTCTGATATTCATATGGAAGTCTTTAATCTGAAGTAAAGTTTGGCTTCTCTGCCCTCTTCCCCAAGGAAAGGTAAACAAATTAGCCTTGTAATGGGGTCTAATTATTAATAAACTATCTTTTTTAAACTCTCCTTAATGTTTAGAAATAAAGAGATGGTTTACAGAAGAGCCTTTCACAACCTGATATCTATAATACTTTTCTGGGACTTTGGGAATCTTGGAATATACTCCTTGTAAACTCAGAGGCTACTGCTATTGTCTCCAAGTGTAATGTCATTGTATTTTCTTCTGAGTAAAATAATTCCAGCTTTCCTTTGATCTGTATCAATCACACCAACCAGGCTTACTGTAAGGCAGTTTGCAGATGGTTGCATGGTCTCCTCCAATTTTTTGCCTAAATTGAAAATGTAACAATCACATAAACGTCATGATTATAACAAATTCTCACTCACCGACTAGAACAGGCACACAGACATAGACACCCACTCACACACAAACGTATAGAAAAGCACGTGCAGAATTTCAAACACTGTGTGACAAAGGCACTCAGATGAATATTATGGGTAAGGAGCCATGTAGGGATGAGTGGACAGGTCTATTTTGAACTTCCCATAATGAAACCGCTTGTGAGAGTTTACCCCTGATCCACACATGCAGGAGGGTTACGTTGTCCCGTCTGCTTTCTATTTTATCATTCCGTACCGCCAGGAAGGCTGAGTGTGGTATTCCTGCTATCGGTCCTCTGTTTCATCCTTTGTACTCAGCCTGTGACCCTTCCTGTCTTTCATTTCCTGTAGATCCAAATTAACAACTTGACATCGGAGTTGAAGGATTTCCATGCTCAATTTGAAGAAGCTGTCACCGCCCACAAGCAAGAGATGAAGAACCAGAACGAACAAGCCAAGGACCTGATGAAACAGCGTGAAGCTGCCCTCCGAGAGGTTGGTACATATTTGACAAAGGGCCATATCCATTCAAAGCTGACTAAGTCTTTCCACTCATCACACCCGCAGTGTTTGGAGTTGTGGAATTTTACAGCCCAATAAAGGCCATTTAGTCCACTATATTGGTCCTGGCTCTCTGAAAGGGCTTATTAACATTCCTCTGACTTGCCCTCATACTTTTTATTTAAGAAAACAACATTTATCCACTTTGCTTCTGTTTCCACCATATTTTCTTTAGAATGTACGTAACCGATAAGCACTTTGACTAAAAAAAGGATTCATTTTGCATTTTTTAAAAATTAAGGCCTCATGCCACTTATTTACCCACAACTGAAAATAGGTTTTCCAAATTGCCCTGATTCAAATCCTCTTAATTTTGAATAACCAAATCAGAAACTTCTCTTAGAGATGGTAAGAACTGCCGATGCTGGAGTCAGAGGTAACACAGTGTGGTGCTGGAGGAGCACAGCAGACCAGGCAGTATCAGAGGAGCAGGAAACTTTGCTTGGTGCTTTTTGTTCCGGTGAAATGAGTTCCACTTTGTCCCATCTCTCCTCCTAACTGAAGCCTCTTATCCATCGCTGATGTAATTTTACTGATCAGTCTGGCACCTTCCCCATGGTCTTGCCTCTTCTGAAGTAAGACAATTAAAACTCAACACACATTCTAGTTTTGGACTTAGGACAGTTTTGGTAATCTGTTATCATTACTTTTTAATGCTAAACTGCACCTGTATAAAACCTAGAACACTTGAGTTGACAGCTGAAAAAAATTACCCTTAAAATTTGAGAGATTAATGTATATAAATCCTGATCTCTACAAAGTCCTCCAGCCCCACATCACTTCCAAGATATCTGTGCTCATCTGAGTTTGGCCTTTTCAACATCCCAAATTTTAAACACTCCATTATAAGTGGCCAAGACCCAAACTCTGGAATTCCCTCTCTAAATCTCTCTGCGTCTCTAGCTTTATTTGCTCCTTTAAGACATTTCCTAAATTTTATCGCTTTGATTATGTTTCAGCCATCTGCTTTAACATCACCTTCTGTGGCTCTGTTCAAAATTTGGTTGATGATGGTCATGTCAAGCACTTTAGAACATTTATCATGTCAAAGGTGCTACGTAAATACTTATTGCTTGGTGTCTTTGCTAAATTTAAATTTTAAAAAATTTCAAAGTGTGGCCTCTCCTTATTCATCAGCTCAAAATGCATTACATCATGTTTTTCCATATTTATTTCTATTTTACGTCTATCTGCCAAATCTCTGAATCTGTTTAAGGTCCCCTGAGATTGCACATATTCTTTTTACACAGCTATCTCTCACGGATCCCTATTCTCTGCGTATTTTGATACTGTATCCACTTTATTCAGACCCAGATTAATTACATATATTGAGAAGAGCAATATACCCAAACCGGCATCCCTCTGTATCACACTCACTAACACCACTGTCTGTTTTGTGTAATTTAATCCACTTCCTGTCATGTTGGTGTCTTTAATACTGTCTACCTTCACTTTAGCAGAGTCTGGCAAATTCTCTCAATACTTTTACTCACCAAAATTTACAATGTGCAAATTCCAACTATCATAGAGTTGTACAGCATGGAAACAGACCCTTCGGTCTAACTCATCCACGCCAACCAGAAATCCTAAATTAATCTAGTCCCATTTGCCAGCATTTGGCCTATATCCCTCTTAAACCCTTCCTATTCATGTACCCATGCTGATGGCTTTTAAACGTTGGAATTGTACCAGCCTTCACCACTTCCTCTGACAGCTCATTTCGTGCACGCATCATCCTCTACATGAAAAAGTTGCCTTGTAGGTCCCTTTTAAATCTTTCCCCTCTCACTTGAAATCCACGCTGTCTAGTTTTGGAAACCCCTACCCTAGGAAAACGACCTTGGCTATTCACCCTATCCGTGCCCCTCATGATTTTATAAACCTGTATAAGATCACCCCTCAGCCTCCGACGCTCCAGAGAAAACAGCCCCAGCTTATTCAGTCTGTCCCTGTAGCTCAAACCCTCCAACCCTAGCAACATCCTTGTAAATCTTTTCTGAACCCTTTCAAGTTTCACAACGTTTTTCCGATAGCAGGGAGATCAAAATCGTATGCAGTATTCCAAAAGTGGCCTAACCAATGTCTTGTACACCCACAACATGACCTCCCAACTCCTATACTCAGCATTGACCAATCAAGGCAAGTGTACCAAACGCCTTCTTTACTATCCTGTCTACCAGTGACCCCACTTTCGAGGAACAATGAACCTGCACCCCAAGGTCTCTTTGTTCAGCAACACTCCCCAGGACCTTGCCATTAAGTGTGTAAGTCCTGCCTGATTTGCCTTCCCAAAATGCAGCACCTCACGTTTATGTAAATTAAACTCCGTCTGCCACGCCTCAGCCTATCAGCCCATCTGATCAGGGTTCTGTTGTACTCTGAAATAATCTTCACTGTCCACTACAACATTAATTTTGGTGTCATCTGTAAACTTACTAACTGTTCCTCTAACATTTACATCCATATCATTTATATAAATGACAAAAAGCAGTGGACCCAGCACCGATCCATGTGGCGCACCGATCCATGTGGCACACCGCTGGTCCCAGGCCTCCAGTCTGAAAAGCAACCCTCCACCATCACCCTCTGCCTCCTACCTTCGAGCCAATTTTGTATCCAGTTGGCTAGCTGTCCCTGGATTCCGTGTGATCTAACCCAATGTAGAACATTGTCAGATGCTTTGCTGAAGTCTGTATAGACAACATCAACTGCTCTGCCTTCATCAATCTTCTTTGTCACTTCTTCGAAAACTCAATCACGTTAGTGAGACATGATTTCCACACACAAAGCCGTGCTGACTATCCCTAATCAGTCCTTGCCTTTCCAAATACATGTAAATTCTGGGATTTAGTCCTTAGTGTTGAATGCTGCTCACTCTTTGAAAGCTTAATGGTGACCTCAGAAAAAGTTCCCTTAGGTGGTGGTGAAGGGGTAAATTGCTGTTGTGTCTTCTGTGCCTCATGTAAGTTGGTGATGCTGTTTAGTACTTATTGAGAGAGATAAAAAGGTCCTGCTTTATGACCAGAAGAAGGATGCATTTTGCCGCTGCTGCACATGTATTTTCTTTTGATGTCCTTTTAACTTTACTTTGATTCTCCATTATCGTTGTTAAGCAGCCCATTTTAAAAATCCTTTAAATAAATCCCTCAAGGCTCTGAATCTGCTGTTTAGAAAAAAAGAGAGGTGATCTCAATTGAAGCACACCCTATTCTGTACAGGGCTGGACAGGTTAGATGCAGGAAGGATGTTTTCCTAGGCTGGTAGAAGGCATCTAGGATGAGGAGATACACTGTCAGAATAATAGGTGAGCCATTGAGCAATGAGATGGGGAGGAGTTTTTTTCACTCAGAGGGTAGTGAAGTTTTGGAATTCTTTACTGCCTAGGGCTGTGGAGGTTTGAATATGAGAATGTTCAAGATGGAAATCACTACATTTCTAGATATGAAAGATATCAAAGGATATGGGGATAGTGCAGGAAAATGACATTCAAGTGGGAAGTCAGCCACAATGTGGTTGAATGGTGGAGCAGGCTCGAAGGGCTGAATAGCCTACTCCTGCACCTATTTCCTACCACTTGTTGGGAACAGGTTCAGACACAACAGCTGGTCTCCAGCACCACAGCCAATCTGTACGCTCGGATGTTTTCCAACCTGCCTGTTCAGAATTGGTATGACACACCTTGGGCGGGTGGGAATCGAGCCTGGGCCTTCTCGTTCAGAGGTGAGGATGCTGCCACTGTGCCGCAGAGCCCTCTGTCTATGTGCTAGAGCTAAGATTTTTAAATGCCTGACAGCTGCTCAATAGACTGGGCGAGAAATCCCAAGCTAGAGTCAAACCTGACCTAACCCCATGTGTGAAGGCTGGCTGTGTGTGTCATGGTGAGGGCTGAGAACTCTTGACTGATTAAACTCAAGGACGTTGGGGCTTAGTTAAGGTCACGACTGAGATTTGTTAACAAACCAGAAACTAACGATCGCACTGATGATCTGTCGAGCATTCCTGGCCTCTGCAATGCACCGTGAGTTGTGTTTGGCCGTGAGTCGTTGCTGTGTCCAATCAGTGAATGTTGTCAGTTGTAGCAACTGGAGGGTGTGGTGGACAGTGCAAGCGAGGGCCCGGGAGGTGTTATATCTCATTCCCCTACGTGCCTGAATGCTGGAGTAAACACCGACTTGCCTTTGTAGGTGGAGGAGCTGAAGACACAGCTTCGAGTGGCCGAAGACACCCGTGATGGCATCCGACGCGAGCTGATCGAAGCTCACCGGCAGATCCGAGAGCAGCAGGAGACCCAGGAGGTGCAGCGCAAAGAGATCACCGATCTCCGACGGTCTGTAGCCGATGAAATGAAGGAGAAGGAGGCCGTGCAGAAATCCAACCAGGACCTGCGGGGCAACATCAAGAAAGCAGAGAGCGAAAAGATCAGGTGTAGAATTGTGCGGGAGGAGCCAAACGTTCCCTGCCAGAGTCTGAATAAGAAGTGCAAATGTGGTTGCCTCCAGCTCCATTTACCTCGCTGCTCTCCTGAAGCTGTTGGCTCATGTGATAGGGGGCGCCACCTCGCACAAGGTGGGTGAGGTGATGGATGGCTGCCAGTGCCCTTGGAGCTATGTCTTGACAAGAGACAGCACCTTCAGGAGAGGAAAGTGCACAGCAACGCCGTCCTGTTGTTAGAGCCGTTAATGAGAAAATACCCCCTTGCATCTAACGATCTGTTGTGTTTTCAGTTTGAAACGAGCTAATGAGGAGAAGGAACAAAAGATCTCTGTGCTGGAAGAGGCGAAAGTGAACAGCGAGAAGGAGTCGGCAGACCTTCGAGCAAGTCTCCGAGAAGTTGAGAAATCCCGTCTGGAGGCGAGGCGCGAGCTGCAGGAGCTGCGCCGACAGGTAACCCATCAATTTGCTGAATCTAGGAAAGGGCATGAGGAACGATCAGAGTAAAAATGCTTAGTGATCAGAAAACGTTTTACATTTCAGCAAGAGGACCCAGTTAAAATGACAATCGAATGGGTTTCTTCCACTTGTCAGCCATTTCTCTCCGAAGATATTGACTGAGTTGCAAATTGTGGGCCAAGAATTGTGCTCCATGGAGAGGGGAGGGGGTTTCTTCTTTATATTAAAAAACATGTAAACTAACTCAAGTTTCAGGATCGGGAAGGAGTTGGTAAGATTGACCCAGAAATAGTTCATAGATGGGGAAAGACCATGTAACATAAGTAAAAATTAAAATTGGAAACTACGATTAAGAAAATTGATAGGTATTTGAAACCAAAGTATAATTGGGCAGTGGAATAATTTACCAGAGGAGAATGTTGAAGCCAGTGTACACTTAGATTCAAGGCATGTTTTGAAAGAGAGAAAGGATGAAGGCAATGCTTCCCAAATTTGGTTCTTGGTGTGATTGTATTTTAGTGTCTCAAATTTCGAGTGACCCAACAGTGAAAGTTTGGCGGGGGGATAAAAGAGTTGACTGGGGAGGTTAGGAAGCCAGATGGGGAGGTGTCAACCATTGTGTGTAATATTGGGGTTACCTTTAATTCTTGATCAAGGTGGGGATGGGTTTGGTGATCGGAAACAGATGGGCAACTTGATTACTAATCATATAGGTTCATGATTATTAACATGAATGAAAATCAATGTAACAGGATCCTGGTATATTTTTTGGTGCAGGAGGATTCCAATTATTATTTGAAGTAATTGCAATTCTTAATGCCGTAGCACCGTGATCGTTGATGCAGTAATTTATTTTGATCCCTCAGGTGAAGATGTTGGATAGTGAAAACACGAAGAAGAGTAAGGAAGTGCTGGAGCTTCAGGCTCGTGTGACCCTGGACGAGCAGCGAGAGGAGGACAGTAGGCGTGAGTCGTTTGAACTAAAGCAGAAAATAGTACAAACTGAAGCCAGCAGGGAATCTGCTCGCAAAGAGGTGAAGAAATATTCTGATTCTTCAGCACAATCTAGGATGTGACCCAAATGCAAAGTGGGTGCAGCTTGTCCCAGTTACGTTAAGGGTTCATGCATTGCTTTGTGTTGTGCTGAGCTATACAATTCAGAAAAGAGTGTGTGTGTGTGTGTGTGTGTGTGTGTGTGTGTGTGTGTCTCTCTCTCTTTCTCTGTCTGTGTGTGTGTATGTCTCTCTCTGTGTGTCTCTCTCTCTGTTTGTCTGTGTGTGAGTCTGTCTGTGTGGTTCTGTTGCCAGCAGGAAGTGAGGAAACAAATTTGATAAAAATGTACAAAGTAGAAGATTTGTTTATTTTCCTCCTTTTCTCCAGGAGTGCTTCTCCTGTAAGCACTCTCCTCTCTCAGGGACAAGTATCTCAGGCATTTCCTCAAAGTGGCCAAGTTGCAGGCGAACCCAGTCTGTCTTCATCTGGCACCCAATCTGCATTGTCCAACACGGGCCAGCAGTAGGAGACTTAAACAGGTTCCACTTACAGACACAAAAAGCCCATTGTAATTCAGATTATAATGCCAGAACGCAGAAGGAGGTCTTTTGGCGAGTTAAGCCTATGCCAACTATTGTAAGAGCTGGTTAGTCTTCCCTACCCCACCCACCACCCCTCGCCCCCCCTCCCCCCCAAACCCCCGCTCTTTGCTCACAGCCCTGCAAGTTCTGGGGAAGAGTCACCGGACCCAAAACGTTAACTCTGTTTTTTCCTTCACAGATGTTGCCAGACCCGCTGAGCTTTTCCAGCAACTTCTGTTTTTGTTCCTGCAATTTCTTTTCCTGTTCAAGTACTTATCGATTTTCTTTTCAAAGTTACTGTTGAACCTGCTTCCATCACCCTTTCAGACCATATTTTCAGATAATCATAACGTGCTGCTTAAAATAAATTCTCCCTGTCTCCCCTCAAATTCTTTGACATTGAACTTAGGTCTTTGATTATCGTCCCCTTTGGCAGTGTAATTTCTCCATATTTACACTATTAAAAGTCCTTATTTGAGTTCATCTAACAAAGGCCAGGAATGGGAACGAAGATCTTCCAAATCTTCATGGTTCAGCTAGTCACTCGATATAAACATTGACTGGGGGAGCCTTGGCTTATTTAGATTTGATGCTACAGTATCTGATTTACCAACTGAGGGACAGTCATAACTAAGATGTTGTGAATGGGCTTAGTGAGACCTGATTAGGGCCTCAAAGCCTTGGAGACTCTTTATTATGAAGTATCTCCTGGATTTCCAGTGGGTGTCTTCTTTTTGCAGGTGGCTAACCTTCAGCGCAAGGTAGCGGAAGTCGAACAGGAATTCCACATCCGGGAAAAGGAGCTGCTGGGCAACCTGGAAGAGGCCCAGGGAATCGGGAAGAAGCTCCAGGACAACGCTCGCAATCTGGAGTTGAAGTTGCAGAAAGCTCACAGCGAGATCCACGAGCTCTGTATGAAGCTGAGCGCAGCTGAGGGACGGATAACCGGATTGGAGGCCGAGTTGGCGCGGGTGGAGGGAATGAAACGGGACGTGGAGTTCAAGCTGGGGAGTCTGCATTCTGCACTTCGCCGCACTCTGGGCATCAGCCGAACTGGACGGACGCAGAGTCCCGCGGTGAGGGGCCACAGCATCTCACCCCAGAGACCACAGTCTCCCATAAAAGGTAACCATGGATCTCAGAAAGGATCTCTGACACAATTCCGAAGGTTTCAATAAAATTGAACCAAATGACTGGATATCCTTTTGAAAAACAAAACAGCACTGCCCCCTCATAGAACCTAAATTGTGTAAATTCAGTTTACACATGGATGTGTGTACACACACTCACTCTCCTCACACAAACTGTCCCTCCGTCTCTCTCGCAGTCCCTCTCCCTCTCACACGCGTGCTTTCTCTCCCTCTCACACGCGCGCTCTCTCTCCCTCTCACACGCGCGCT